TTCCAGCAGAACTCACTAAGTGCTCATGGCTTTTTCTGCGCCACATTCACGGACTGTTTGGGTCATGATCCTTGCCTATGGACAAAGCCTCAGTTCAGTCTCAGTGAACGGCTGTTTAATTCTTATAACTTTACATAAATCATTTGCTTATCTACAAAGTATACCTAGCTTTTAATAGAACTTTTAAATTCTTCTCCATAAAAAACTTAGCTCAGTTGCTGTCCCGTCAACTCCAACTAATGGTGACCGTGTATGTTTCAGAGAAGAACTATGCACCTCAGCATTTCCAGTGACTGATTTTTCACAAGTAGACCACCAGACCTTTCCTCCAAGACACCGCTGCGTGTACTCGAAGTACCAACCTTTTGGTTACTAGCCAAGCATTTAACCATTGCACCATCCAAAGACATCTAGTGAGGTTCTCTTTTTTAATTGATGAACTGTTTCTACATTGGGAGAGTATCCAGAACTGAGCAAAATCTATTTCTGTTATAGCAGCTTGAAGTGACTAAAATAGTCCCTTTGGTAAGAAGTTGACCATAAGAAGTTGGGTGAGACCACTTACAGCCTTGGGTCTTTCAAAGATGGGTGACATACTTTATGCAATGCCTGGTCTGCTGGGGCAAGTGGATTTTGGATAGTAGTTCCTATTGGTGGCAGCCTTTCAAGATGATGGCTAAAAGCCCTAGCCAGTTGGCTGTAGCCAACTATCTCCAAGTGTGTGAATCATTACATCAACTCCTGTTTGCAGAGTTGAGAGCAGTCCCTATGTACAGAGAGACTTATCGCAATAGACTTTTCCTCCCAACAGATGTCAGCACTTAAGACTCCAAGTTCTGGTGTATTTTTCTTTCTCTTTCACTAGAGTAAAACTGATTTATCATCAACAGAAAAGAACATGTCACTAATGTAAGGTGACCAGATGTCCCACTTTTGGTGCAACAGTCCGGATTTTTATCAATTTGTCCCGCATCCCATGGCGTTTTTTAAAAGTCCTGATTTTTTGAAAGAATGCACGACAAGCTAGGGTATACGATTTTCGGCTGCCATGTGGCTATTTCGCCAGGATATGAGTTTTATCAATGGTGTCCTGCTTTACCAATGTTAAAATCTGGTCACCTTATTGGCAAGCCCAAAGTTCTTGTGGCTTTTTGATAATTGCCCCCCTTAAAAACAAAATAACACAAAAATACTTGGGAGCCACCTTGAGAATGTTCAGAAAACACATGGATCCAGGTAGTTTGGAAGGAATTTATACTGAGTCAAGGCAAGAAAGGGTAATTATCTGTAAGTGATTATACCAAAGTTTTGACATCAGTTTGCTGGGTTTTTCCATTGACCAAGTAAAAATATTAGCACATTCATTATCTGTTGCAGTGCTTTGAATTTTTCAACCTGGTATGTATTTAAGTATAATACCTACTAGAGTTCTGGCAAAAGCAGAGAGAATGGAGAGACCAGGACATTGTATCACTTAATCATCTTCCACAGATGTGTTCCTGGGAAGCAAAACCACTCTCCTTCTAGGAGTGATGCTATGCTTACAGTTGGGGGGAGATATAGTTAGCCAGCATTTCTCAGTGATCGTCTGAATATTGTTAAAATGTCGATGTGGATCCTATGGATATGGGTGGGGTTTGAGACCTTATATTTGTAACAAGCTCCCAGGTCAGGCCACTGATACCCATTCATGAATCACCCTTCTAGTAGCAAGAAGTTAAAGGACCATTTAGACCACTTATGGGAGAGTAACGGAGAACTTCATGTAAGAAAAATAATGACAGTTTCATAATTGTCATATTAACAATTACATATGTACCTGCACCAGCAGCAATTCAAGTGTAAGGAAGGGAGACTGAGAAATCAGACTGTATCATCATTTGCTTATCAAGGACTGATTTGACTTCTGCTAGAACCTGGTTGGGGAGTGTGTTAGTCTAGGTACTTTAGAGAAGCAAATCCACAGCAACTCGTGTATAAGAAAGAGTTTTATATAAAGGTTAAGTGCGCATCAAGAAAGCATCCCAACCCAGTGCTGCCCAAGCCCACAAGTCCAACATTAACCCATATGCCCAACACCAACCCACAAAGTCCTCCTCCATCTCACAAGACAGATGCAATGATGCCGACTGCAGGAGGAAAGCCGAGTCAGTGAATGTGTAAGCATCTCAGTGCTGGCAGGGGTCCACCCAGGGCTGCATCGGGGCAGGTCCATGTGGTTTCTCCTTTGGGATGTCTTGCAGGAAGTGAGCCTTGCCAGCTAAAGCAGGGAACTGTACCCTGGTCCGGCCATCAGAAATCAAGAAACCCAAAAACTAGAAAGGCAAGGCTCACTGAGCCATTTATCTCTCCGCCCTTCAATTAACCCTACGTGTGTTTATCAGCCAGGTTGGCACAATAAACTAACTACCTCATGGAGTTACCTGGTGACCTTTTTCCATGGTCTTGTATTATGTGTAGTTTGGTATTGAGAATTAGAGGAGCCGTAGGACTCTATAGCAGAAGAAATATAGTTGCAGGTCATACCATGCTTATTGTATCAATTAAATAGAGATGTTGTGAGGAGAAAAGCCACAAACAACAGTTAATGTTTGTTGTACCAACAAACCTACGAATATGGAGCCAGTCTGCTTTTTTGATATTATCTGGCTTTGTTTAAAAGGTTGCCTGGGTGACTGGGTGCTAAATTTTCATCTGATACTGTGCCAAGTCTCAAGAACATGGAATTACCCTGGCTAATACATATATCTAGTTTCCATAACAACAAAGCTCCGGCTTAAGCTTAAGTTAAACTAAAGCAAGCAATTGCTAGTTTTTGTTTGTTTGTTTGTTTGTTTTAAAGAGCAGATATAGGCAAGGTTCTGGGAAAACCCCTAGGCTCCACTTGGAAGTCATCTTCTGCTCCATACTGGCCCATGGCATTTGAAGAGCTGCATCCCAGTATTTGGTCAGGATGGATTATTTAATCTGTCTTCATGATTAAATGATAGAAAGGGTTTTTTTTAATCATTTTATTGAGGGTTCTTACAGCTCTTATCACAATCCGTACATACATCCATTGTGTCAAGCCATTATCATTGTCTTTGTTTTTTTAATCGTTTTATTAGGGGCTCATACAACTCTTATCACAATCCATACATACATCAATTATGTAAAGCACATTTGTACACTCATTGCCCTCATTATTCTCAAAACATTTGCTCTCTACTTAAGCCCCTGGCATCAGCTCCTCATTTTCCCCCCTCCCTCCCAACTACCCCCTCCCTGGCATTATCATTTTCAAAACCTTTTCTTTGTACTCGAGCCCATGCTATCAGCTCATTTTTCCCCGCCCCCACCTCCCCCCCTCATGAACCCTTGATAATTTTTTTTTCATGTCTTACACTGACCACTGCCTCCCTTCACCCACTTTTCTGTTGTTCGTCACCCTGGGTGGGGTGTTATATGTCGATCATTGTGTTTGCTTCCCTCATTCCCCGCCACCTTCCCCTTACCCTCTTGGTATCACTGCTTTCATTGTTGGTACTGAGTGGGATAGAAAGATTTTTATAAACCATCATCCGCGTATCTTACCTGCCTAGAGCGCTGAAGACAATCTGTAGCAGAATAGGAAGAGGAATTTTGGATGCATTGTCTTTCTTGCTGATGATGCATTGGTATTAGCGAGCCTAGTGCCTCATCCTTGTTAGGGCTAAGTCAGAAATGATGTGATCTCCCCTGTTAATCTGCTCCCTTGGTTTTCCCTCTGACTTCTAACCTCTGCTCTAGCCACTGGACAGCTGCAGACAAGCTATAGTTACTGGTCTCCAAAGTCCACCAGCGGCTTGAGCTCAGTTCAATAGCAAGAAAAGTCCTCCTTTCAGAGGTTCTTTCATCTTTTTTATCTGAATCATTTCATCTATGCTTAAGCAAAAAGAGCAAACAAGCAAGCGAATGTGGGGGGTGGGTAATTGCATATTATAGAGGAGCAGGAGCAGAGAAATGGAAATGCTCTGTAGGAAATATATATATATATGAAACCCTGCTAATTTTTCAAGTATTAGGTATATTTGTTATCACTTGGATGTTATAGTTATTATAGTTTAAGGTATTGTGGCCATTTGGGGGGGGCAAGGTCAATTTAAAAGAATGACTTCTTACAAACAATAGGGAACATTGTCTCCTTTCACTTAGCAAACATTCGTGGAAGATGAACACTGATTTTGGTTTTGGAGCTAGGAGCTGAGTCAGGCCAAGCCCTTCCCAGAAAAGCTATCCATGGAACAGGGCCAAAGAAATTGATACTCAACCCACCCATATCACAGTCAGTCACTTAATGCCACCGTGGTGAAAAGCTTCCTGTCAGATCCTAATAATATGACATGCTTCGGTGTTTGTGTCTGTGTAAGTGGGTAAGATGTAACCTGGCTCCGTCTCCCTTGATCTCCCAGTATGAGAGGATGTATATACATATAACTCAAGGAGTATTGGTTGTACAGGTTGACAACTAGGAAGTACAGGTGGATGAACAGGCTGGCTACTCTGCTATCCTCTCCTTGGGCAGGGGTTTCATGGCATAGTACCATAGGGGTGGAGAACCATAAGTAACAGAAGTGGCCTTAGGATAGCAATAAGCTGGACTTACCTGGAATAGCTTTGCCCAGAAGAGGACCCTCTTCAGACCAGCCGAGGAACACCCAGAGCAAAGGAATTGGGAGCAGTGGGTGATGGAAAATGTCCATGGCTTATTTCTGAGTTTCTAAGCTGAACAGTTTTGAAATGTAGTCTTCTTTTGCTACCTGCTGGTTGGTGGCTGTAAGCAACTAACTGGCTTCCTTCAATGCCAGAACCTCTGTTCCCCACCTGTCAGTGCCGAGATGTCAACCATGACTTAGCACATGGGGCTTTTACAGGGCTCAGTAAGTGGACATGTCACAGTGCTTACTGACTGGGAGAGTCCTGTCACTCCTCCAGTCACACGGCTGGGTACTGATGTCTCTTTTGTTCTGTTTATGTTGTAGGAATAGAGCTGTGTCCCCCTGGGAAGCGGTTCATGATCACCATGGTGGCAAGCTTTGTGGCCATGGCGGGGCAGTTCCTCATGCCAGGGCTGGCTGCCCTGTGTCGGGACTGGCAGGTGCTGCAGGCCCTCATCATCTGTCCCTTCCTGCTCATGCTGCTCTACTGGTCGTAAGTACCTGCCCCACCCTGTGAACATGCAACCCCAACATCTGGAGAGTGGATGCTTTCCCCTGGGACGTGAGGCCCACCTTCCTACACCCAAACCCTCCAGTAGTATCTTATCGACTTTCCTGCTTGTGGCTTTGTGTGAGGGAAAACTTCTCTGTTCTCCCAAAAAGCAACTGGTGGGTTCAAACCACAGACTGCAGTTAGTAGACCAATGTTTAACTCACTGTGCCACCAGAGCATTCTCTCTGCAACAGTTGGGTTGTATAGTTGTTGCATGAACTTAGAAACCCCAGTGTGTGTGGGTGCAGGTGTGGGTGTATGTGTCTATATGTATATATGTATTTGCACACACACTGCACTATGTTTCTGTTATTTGGTCAGTAATGAAACCACACTTGTGATAAGAACTTGATAACCTGTGGTCTTGCTTTAAGCACTCTGCATGAAAGCTATTAATTGTGCTTCTCCCTCTAATGTGCCAGGGAGGGGAACGAAATGCCTGCTCCCAGCTTCATAGTGCTAGGCCACCAACCATAGGGCAAGGGCATGGTTGCATTGTCCTAAGGATCCCAATCCTTGCTTACCAGATCATAAGCAAATCAGGAGGCCAATGATAACCAGCAATAGCTAATACAAAAGGTCCCTGCTGGAGAGGCCAGTCATCACTCATAATGGCTGTTAAAACTATTCCTGCTAGCTGGCTGCATTCTCCCCATCCTGACCCATACCTGCTCTTTACCTGTTCTTCCTACCTTACCTGCCCTACCTACCTTACCCACCAAGGAGAAGCTCTTATTTCCTCCATCATTCCCCCTCATTCTCACCTGCCAAAAACCACACATATTTCAAAAGATCAAGTTCATTCCAACTCATAGAAACCCTAAAGGACAGAGTAGAACAGCTCCTCAGGGTTTCCAAGACTGACAGCCTCATCTTTCTATCTCAGATGGATTTGTGGATTTGAACCACTGACTTTACAATTAGTAGCCAATTTTTTAAAAATCATTTTATTGGGGGCTCGTACAATTCTTATCACAATCCATACATACATCCATTATGTCAAGCATATTTGTACATTTGTTACCATCATCATTCTCAAAACATTTGCTTTCTACTTGAGCTCTTAATATCAGTTCCTCATTTTTCGCCTTCCCTCTCCGTCCC